AGTCGGACACTTAACCGACTGAGCCACCCAGGCGCCCCTTAATTTGTACTTTTATCAGTGTCTTGTACTTACCAGTATCTTATTTTTATATGTAGGCAATCCATAGAGGAAAAGAGACCCCATTTTAAAAAGTATTTCAGGTGTAAGAAATTTAGAAAGCCTGCCGTCAGATATAATTAGCTCTGCCACCATTTTAATTTTTAAAACTTTATTGAGATATAATGTACAAATGCACCCTTAATTTTCAATGCACAATTCGATAAGTTTTGGCAAATGTATATACCCGGGTAATCAACAAACAGCAAGCACAATCAAAACAGAATATTTCTGTTATAGCCCCAAAAGTGTCTTCCTGCTGTTTTGAAGCCAATTCCCCTCCATCCCATTTAATTTTACATAGTTTTGTTGTTTAACGTTTCTTAAGTCTGTGTGTAAAAGAGGAGGATGGATAGGCATTTCTGATCTCAAAATCTAAGGTGAGGACAGGGGTGAATAACCGGAGGCTAGCGGCCGGAACGGAAAGTTCCCGGGGATGTGGCTCCCCACTCCTTAAGGACAGGGAGGGTCAGCCCCAGAGCCAGGGAGGGTGGTGGCCCGGTGAGCTGGCGCTCAGGAAGTGCCCTCTTCCGTGGACTGGCTCGCCCACGAGGTCTCCTCTGGTCCCGCAGGGCCCTGGGCGCACGCTGACTGTGCGGGGGCTGGCGCGCCCTTTGCTCTAAGTCCGGGTCTGGGCGCTGCCATAGCAACGGCCTGGACGCCCAGACCTTAGGCCGCCGCCGCCGCCGCCGGAGACCCGGCCATCTCCCGCTCCCGAAGGGTGGGGCGGCGGCGGCCCGGGAGGCGGCCGGGGCCGGGTAGACGGGACCGCCCCCTCCTCGGATACCAGCTGAGGCCGCGGGTTTGCTTCCAAGCATGGTAAGTGAGAGCGGGGAGGTCGGGCTGCCTGGCGATGTGGGACTGGGGGCGGCCGGGGCTCCCCGGGACTCCCAGCACCCTCACCACCCCTACGCTGCCTCCTCCCCGCAGCCCTTTCAGAAGCACGTCTACTACCCGCTGGCCAGCGGCCTGGAAGGACCCGACGCCCCCGCAGCAGCTGCCGCGGCGGGAGCGGCCACGATGGCCTGTGGCCCCCCCAGCGTGGCGTCGGTCCCCCTGCCCTTCTTCCAGTTCCGGCCGCGGCTGGAGAGCGTCGACTGGCGGCGGCTGAGCGCCATCGACGTGGACAAGGTGGCGGGCGCCGTGGACGTGCTCACGCTGCAGGAGAACATCATGAACATCACCTTCTGCAAGCTGGAGGACGAGAAGTGCCCGCACTGCCAGTCGGGGGTGGACCCGGTGCTGCTGAAGCTCATCCGCCTGGCGCAGCTCACCATCGAGTACCTGCTGCACTCGCAGGAGTTCCTCACCTCGCAGCTGCACCACCTGGAAGAGCGGCTGCGCCTGAGCCTGGCCGATGGCGAGCAGAGCAGGAAGCTCCTCACCAAGCAGGCCGGCGAGATCAAGTTACTCAAGGAAGAGTGTAAACGCAGGAAAAAGATAATCTCGACCCAGCAGCTGATGATCGAGACCAAAGCCAGCTATTACCAGGTGGGACGCTGCGTTGTGATTCCGATTCATAATCCAGTTTAACATCCTCGATTCCCACCTCGGTATTGAGAGTCCTTTCCTAGATCACCGACTTTTTTTTCCCCTTCGTGAGATTTTTACTGTAAATCAGAAGAAACAACATAGTTAAGCAAAATAGTAATTTTAACCAACAGCTGACATGGTTCGTTACCTTCTGTAGACAACCAGAGGATTAATAATTAAACAAGCAATGTTGTCTGTCGTGCTTTGCTGAAAGTCCTCTTTATAAACGTTGGCTGTTTAAGAAACTGTGTCCTCCCCCTAATTGATGTAATGAGAAATAAACCGGGTACAAATTGCTGTCGAGGTCTGGCCCCAGATGATCTGGAATGATTAAATTTGTGGGGCTTTTATTTCAAGATATTTTCAAGCTTGCTGAAAAGTTGTAAGAATAGTGCAAAGAACTTCATAAACCCCTCACCCAGATTCTCCAGTTGTTAACATTTGCCACATTTGCTTTATTTTCTCATTCTATATATACATATTATTTTTGAACCCTTGGCCAGTGAGTTCCAGACTCCTAAGTAGTTCAGTTTGCATATCTCCTAAGACCAAGAACACTGACTAATGTAACAATATTAATGATATAGAACAACAGTATTTGTTAATTGAACTGGTATTTAAAAAAAATTTTTTTTTAATGTTTATTTTTGAGAGAGAGACACACACAGAGTGCCAATGGGGGAGGGGCAGAGAGAGAGGGAGACACAAAATCTGAAGCAGGGTCCAGGCTCCCAGTTGTCAGCACAGAGCCTGACTTTGTGGGCTTGAACCCACAAACCGTGAGATCATGACCTGAGCCGAAGTCAGAAGCTTAACCAACTGAGCCACCCAGGCACCCCTGAACATGTAGTATTTTAAATATATCTTATGGGGCACCTGGGTGTCTCGGTTAAGCATCCTGCTCTTGATTTTCTGGCTCAGTGATGAGATCTAGCCCAGTGATCTAACCTGGGGGCTGCCTCTGTGCTGAGCATGGAGTCTGCTTAGGATTCTCTCTCTCCCTCTCTCTGTCTCTACCCCACTTGCATGTGTACTCTCTCTCAAAATAAACATTAAAAAGTAAAATAAAATATATTTTATTAATGTAACAATAGTATTAAAAAAATTGAAACCTCTTGCTTTTCTGTGTTTAATGTCTAACTTTTACAGGTTAGATACTGAGCTAAGATAAATATTGTAATTTTTTAGTATAATAGAAATCAGTTGTATATATTTTTTTATTGATTAGATGGAGAAAATGCAAAGGGTATCAACAATGTTTGATAAAGTTATCAAAGAATCAACAGGCTGACAAGACTGATTTCATATCCTTACATTGTAGTCACTTTGGCTAAATATGAATTAAAAGGCCTCAGTGAATGGGCGCCTGGCAGGTTCAGTCAGTAGAGCATGTGACTCTTGATCTTAGGGTTGTGAGTTCGAGCCCCATGGTAGGAGTAGAGTTTACTGGGAGGAAAAAAAAGCCTCAGTGGACTTAGGTACTAGCAGCGTGAGTAAATGCAGAGAACTGGGTGTGGGCACAGATTATGGTGTGGTCATTAGTGCTTAGGACTGACCCAACAGGAGCCTTGAGAGAAGTGTACTTAAGATAGGTGAACAATTGGGACAGAATACTGTTAGAAAGGCTTAGTGTTTAGCCTTGGGTACACAACCCTGAGATATAATCCTCAAATGACACCTAATGTTGCTAATTGCCTATTTGTTTCATAAATGCCATGTACATATTTATAAATAGTGTTGATATGGCCTTTTATAAATACATCTATTAAACAATGAATAGAATAGGTTCTATTTAGACATTAAAAATAATTTAGCTTTGGTAGCAATCAGTGATATGTTAACAGCTATAACATACAGAAATTTTATGTTTATGAACATTTTTTCATTCTTTTAGTTACTATAGAAATAGGTGTTAGTAAAGATTTTCAAGTTTGAATGATACACATGAATAAAGGTAAGGGCTTCGTTTTATTTAATGACTGACACCTGCCAAGTTGGCCACTCAGCAGAGTCTCTGAATAACAGTGTTGGGTGTATGGCGTGCCCCAGTGTGACCATGTAGAGGTAGGATTGCCCAGACCATTCCTACTTAGTGTGGTATATAACACTCCGCTCTCTTAGGTGCCTTGCCATTGTCTCTTGATGGACTGAGCAGTGTTAGCCCTTTAGGGTGACAATTCCAGAGTTAGACTGTCTGGGTTTGAATCCTAACTATTCCACCATGCAAGTCAGTTAACATCTAGACCTCAGTTTCCTCATCTGGAAAATGAGAACATTAGTAGTAGGTATCTTTTAGGGCTGTTCTGAGAATTCCATGAGCTAATGCACATGCAGCATAAGGAAGTCTCAGCAAATGACATCTGACATGTGGTGTTGATTTCCACACTGGCTTCTTGGTAGTGAGCTGTGACTCCTCAGGATCTCTGCAAGGCCTCACACCTTTCCTAGGAGGTGAATAGCGGCGGTACAGGAAGAAGGCCAGGGGTTGCAGTGATAATGCTGTAAGAAGCGGTGATTCAGGGAGGGGAAGTCAAGTCTGCTGCTAAGAATAGTTGGCACATAGGCCAGCTGGGGGCCCAAGATGTTACAATTATTTCAACTCCAGGTTCGGACATGTGAGGATATTTGGCCTATGATAAGATTTATAGGAAGACAATTGATTTTGTTTAAATAGCTATTTGACTTTAGCCTGCAGTCATGAATTTGTGTTTATGGAGACCTCCAAAAGCTGGGGAAGTCTCATGGCCATGTGTAAAGGCCAGTGTGTGCCAATGATGTGGTTGTCAAATTATTTTTTTAATGAAATTAAAAAATACCAGTGTATCATAACAGGACTTAGACTCATTTTAAGAAGAACTTTTGTTTTCGCAGCTGGAAGACTCAGATTCCTGTCCATGCTTTAGCACTACAGGCAGATTTTGGAATCTATGTCAGTGAATTTCTGACCCTGGTTGCAGTTTTTCAGTGGAGATAGTGTTGGGGTAGAAAAAAGCATGCATTTTGGGGTGCCTGGGTTGCTCAGTTGGCTAAGCATCTGACCAGCTCAGGTCACAATCTCACGGTTTGTGAATTTGAGCTCTGCGTTGGGCTCTTTGCTGTCAGCGCAGAGCCTGCTTCAGATTCTCTGTCTCCCCCTCTCTCTGCCCCTCCCCTGCTCTGTCTTTCAAAAATAATGAACATTAGAAAAACAAAAAGAAAAAAAAGCATGCGTTTTGCAGTCAGAGAGACATAGGTTAAAATATGCATCTTATAACGCTGTGACCCAATTCATTCCCCACACCCTTAACCAACCTCTGGCAACCACTGGTCTTTTTACTGTCTCTGTAATTTTGCCTTTTCCAGAATGTCATATAGTTGGTATCACTCAGGATTTAGCCTTTTCAGATTGGTTTCTTTTACTTAATAAAATGCACTTAATGTCCTTCCATGTCTCATTTATCTGGTCACTTACTGAAGAACATCTTGGTTGCTTCCAAGCTTTGGCAATTATGAATAATGCTGCTATAAACTGATACGTGTGCAGGTTACTGTATGGACATAGGTAATCTAAGTGGCTGTATCATTTTGCATTCCCACCAGCAATGGGTGAGAGTTCCTGTTGCTCCACTTCCTTGCCAGCATTTGCTGATGTCAATGCTCTGGATTTTGGTGATTCTAATGGGTGTAGGGTGGTATCTCATTGTTTAAATTTGCATTTCCCTAATGACACGTTATGTGGAGCATCTTTTCCTATGCTTAATTGCCATCTGTGTATCTTCTTTGGTGAGGTGTCTATTATAGTCTTTGGACTATTTTGTAGTTGTTTGTTTTCTTTTTGTTGAGTTTTAAGAGTTCTTTGTATATTTTGGGTAACAGTCTTTTATCAGTTGTGTGTGTTTTGCAAATGTTTTCTCCCAGTCTGTGGCTTGTTTTCTCATTTTCTTCACATTGTCTTTTGCAGAACAGAAGTTTTGAATTTTAATGAAGTCTTGTTTATCAGTTATTTCTCTTTAAAATTTTTATTTATTTATTTTGAGAGAGAGCGAATGCACACATGAGGGAGGGGCAGAGAGGGAGGGAGAGAGAGAATCCCAAGCAGGCTCCACACTGTGACATTGCAGAACCCCGTGTGGGGCTTGAACTCATGAACCATGCGATCATGACCTGAGCCAAAATGAAAAGTTGTTTGCTTAACCAACTGAGCCACCCAGGCGCCCTCAATTTTTTCTTTCATGGATTGTGTCTCTGGTGTTGAATCTAAAAAGGCATCATCGAGATCATCTAGGTTTTCTTCTATGTTATTTTTAGGAGTTTTATAGTTTGGCCTTTTACATTTAGGTTGGTGATCCCTTTGAGTTCGATTTTGTAAAGGATGTGAAGTCTGTGTCAACATTCATTTCTTAGTGGATGTCCAGTTTTTCCAGTACCATTGTTGAAGAAACTGTCTTTGTTCCATTGTATTGTTTTTGCTCCTTTGTCAAAGATCAGGTGGTGATATTTATATGGGTTTATTTCTTGGCTCTCTCTTCTGCTCCACTGATCTGTTTGTCTGTTCCTTAGACAATACCACACTGTCTTGATTACTGTAGCTTTATATAGTAAGTCATAAAGTTGAGTAGCATCAGTCCTCCAACTTTGTCCTTCTCCTTCAATACCTCGTTGGCTATTTTAGGACTTTTGCTTCTTCATACAAACTTTAGAATCAGTTTGTTGTTAACCACAAAGTAACTTGCTGGGATTTTGATTAGGGTTGCATTGACTCTGTAGATCAACATAGGGAAAATTGACATTTTGACAATATTGAGTCTTCTTATCCATTAACACAGATATTCATTTATTTAGTTCTTTGATTTGCTCTTCAGAACTTTGTAGTTTCCCTCCTATAGATATTTTACATGTTTTATTTTATTTTATTTTTTTGAGAGAGAGTGTGTATGCATATGAGAACACAAGCAGGGAAGGGGCAGAGGGAGAGGGAGAGAGAGAACCTTAAGCAGGTCCCATGCCCAGGATGGAGCCTGACTCTGGACTTGATCCCACAACCATGAGATCATGATCTGAGCCAAAATCAAGAGTCGGACATTTAACCTGCTGAGCCAACCAGGTGCCCCTGGATCTCATACATATTTTGTTGGGTTCATACATAAGTATTCATTTTTGGGGTGCTAATGTAAAGGATGATTTGTTTTTAATTTCAAATTCTATCTTTCCATTATGGAATATAGGAAAGCAGTTGACTTTAGTATATTAACCTTCTATCCCACAACTTTGCTATACCTGGTTGTTAGTTCTGGGATTGTTGTGGGTTTTTGTTTGTTTGTTTTGCCAATTCTTTTGGATTTTCTATAAAGACATTAATGTCATCTGCAAACAAAGAAATTCTGTATCTTCCTCCCTAATCTGTGTATTTGTTACTTCCTTTCCTTGCCTTATTGCATTAGCAAGGACTTCTAGTACAATGTTGAAAAGCAGCAGTGAAAAGGGACTTCCTTGCTTTGTACCTCATCTTAGTGGGGAAGCTTTGAGTTTTTCCACCAAGCGTGATATTAGCTGTAGGTGTTTGTTGTAGCTAGTCTTTACCAAGTTGGGAAAGTTCCCCTCTTCCTTGGAGTTTTTAACTCTTAGACTCTTCCACTGTGAGCCTCCAGCAATTTGTCAATTACAGTTTAGGTTTTCCTACCCCTTCTTACCCTGAGTTCATGGCTTTTCTGTATTGTTCAAATAGTTAAAATATCTATTTTTTGATTTTAGAAATTAAAAGTCACAGTTTCCAGAAAGCCTCATCCTTTCCTTTCTCCAGTGCTGTGCCTGGCCCTAAAGCCCACACCGACATCTGAGTCCAGTGGGCAGGCCATGACATACTAAACTTGAGCAGTCATCAAGAGCAGAGAAGGCTGGAAAGATACTTTAAAGACTCCCCAAAATGCAAGGCCAAGAAATATGCCATAATGTTGGCTTTCTGGGAAAGAGACCCTGAACTTCTGATGCAGTTATACTGATTTGGAGTAAGACAAAACTGCACATGAATAGAAGAACATGTTAGTAGCACAATGAAAATGAAACTGCAAAATCCAAACTGGAAGAAACTCTGTAGGACACGTGTTTAGTTTCTTCAGCAAAAGAATTGCAAAGATAAAAGAGAGATGGGGGGGCGGGGGCGGTCTATAGACCAGAAGACAGTGGAGAGACATAATGAGCAGTTGCATGATATGGCCGTATTTGGATCCTGATTCAAAACAAACTGTAAAATTTTTTTCTAAGAATGTCCTTTTAGAGGCTCCTGGGTGGCTCAGTTGGTTAAATGTCCGACTTCAGCTCAGGTCATGATCTCACAGTTCGTGAATTTGAGCCCTGCTTTAGGCTCTGTGCTGACAGCTCAGAGCCTGGAGCCTGCTTCAGATTCTGTGTCTCCCTCTCTCTGCCCCTCCCCCACTCATGCTCTGTCTCTCAAAAATGAATAAATGTTTAAAAAAATTAAGAAAAAAATGTCCTTTTAGAGATGGATTCTGAAATACTAACAAATGAAATATATAATATCCAGGTTTTAATTCAGGGTAATCCAGGAACAAAGATATAGATGAAACAAGTGGAATTTTTGCTTAAAATTTGAATCTGTGTTAAAATGGAAAATAGAAATATTTGTGGGTTTTTTTTTTCAGTAAAATTCATTTTAGGAGGCCAAGTATTTCTAAGTATATGTTCAGTGATTTATTAATGCTGGGCTCTGGGAATAATGCTATGAATAAGATAGACAAGAGCCCACACTGTCAGGAATGTGACATTCTAGAACCAAGAGGGATTGAGCAGAGAACAATAAACAAGTGAAGTGGCTAAACGTGGAAATAGTAACTGTTGAGACATGCAATGATGAAAGTAAGTGTGGTGGGACAGTGACTGGCAGGAGGGCCATCTGCCAAGGTCTTGTTGAGGACGTGCCCAGTGGGGAAGATGCTCCTGGAATGACTCCTGAATGTCAGGAAGGAGCCAGTGGGGGGAAGGTCTTGGCAAGGTTCAGGCTGGGCACGAGCTCATGCAGAGGCTGAATTTGGCCTGCTTGAGGGACAGAAAGAAGACTGGCGTGGCTGGAGTGTCTCGAACAAGTTGGTGACAGGCTGGGAACCAGCTGTGGAACAGGAGCAGCATCAGGGGTTCCTGCAGGCACCCAAATGGGCTACTCTGGCTGTCGGGAGATAGCTGTCACTGCCTTGTTCTCAGTTTGGAGAGAACACCCTGGTTTACAGTTGTCTTTTTAGTCCTGCTTTTAGTATCCCTTGCTGGGATGATATCTTTTGGGGGACCGTTCCCAAGAGGTGGTGCTTTAGGTACCCCAATTTAATTGAAATTAGGTGGGAGAGCACTTGTTACAGACATTCAGATTTGTTGCTGTCTCCTTTTCAGTGCCATTTTTGTGATAAGGCCTTTATGAACCAAGCTTTTCTACAAAGTCACATTCAGCGCCGCCACCCTGAAGATTCTCACCTTGGTAAGTCACGAGCTCAGCTTCACAGAGCTGTTTTCCTTTTGGTACCTTTCTCTATTTTCAGCGAGGCATGGTCCAGTGCATCTCTCAGTCCTTCTAAAAGTATCATAGTCTTTGTTCATTCATGAAATATTGAGCGCCTACTATGTGCCATGCACAGCACCAGGCCTGGGGCTATGGGCGCACACGAAACAGACCAAGTTCTGCCCTCTGGGGTCTTACATTCTGTTAGGAGGGGCAGAGGAAACACACTTAAATAAATGAGTGGTTCCTCTCAAACGGTGGCAAATGCAACACGGAAAATAAAACAAGAATGGGGTGGAGGTGGTCAGCAAAGTCTTCGTGGAGGAGGCCTTATTTGATCAGACACTGGATTGATGAGGAGGTCCCAGCCCGGGGAAAAGCTGGGGAATGAATATCCCAGACATGGGGAGCTCTGAGTGTCGGAGGTGTGAGGGGCAGGCAGCACAGCATGTTTGAGGAACAGACAGAAGATCAGTGGAATAGAGCGAGCAAGGCAGTAGTGTGTGGGGACATTGGAAGGGAGGGGGCCAGGTCACGTGGGGCATTGAAGGCCCAGGCCAGGAATGTGGGTAGCGGCTGGTGAAGAGCGTAGGGGCCGTGGTGGTGGAAGCAGGTGGAAGAGTGAGGAGGCTACTGGGGTAATGCAGGTGAGTGATGTGGCAGCAGGACCAGGACGAGACCAGGGAAGACCAGAGAAGTGAAGATGGAGAGGACGTGTGTTCTGCACAGAGCCCACAGACGTGTGACTTAGCATGAGAACAAGAGATAAGAGAAAGACAGTCTTGGATTTCGTCCTGTACATTTGGGTGAGTGGCCGTGACGTCTACTGAGGTGGGGACCTAGGGGTGGGAGGTGGGCTGAGGAAGGAAGGAGAATGAGAGTGTGTGTTGGTCAGGGTAAACCTGAGGCACACATACAAACGCCATGCGAGTGGAGATGCAGGGGGTCTGGAGGTCACGGTGAGGCCCAGGGTGGAGATACAAATCCAGGAGTCATTAGCAGAGCTGGGCTGGATGAGCTCACCTAGACAGAGAAGAGAAGGTGGCTAGGGGCCAGCCTCAAGGCTTTCCCAACATCAGGAGCTCAGGAGGAGCAGCCTAGTGGGTGAGAAATAGTTATGGAAGCAGGAGGGAGACCTGGGGAGTGTGTTGTCATGGAAACCAAGGGAAACAAGTATTTCAGGAAGGAGGCAGTGACCAATTTATTGAATGTACCTGAGGCGTAGATAGAGTAAGATGAAGACTGAGAATTGGTTATTGCTGTCACGATGGCTGTTGTTGACCTTGACATAGCAGCTTCAGTGGATTGGTGTGGACAAAAGCCCAAGGGGAGTGAGCTGAGCTGACAATCAGGTGAGCAAGTGGTCATGTTGTAGACATTTGCTTCAGTAACATTTGCTGGGAAGGACAGCAGAGACATGAAGCATTGTCTGGAAGAAAATGTGAAACAAAGGGAAAATTTTTGTTTCATTTGATGTGGGAGATACAAAGATGTGTTTGGGTGCTGATATGAATTAACCAAGTTTAGAGTAGGAAAATAAGCAAGAGAGGGCAGGAGTTCGGTGGCTTATCAACTAGATTTCCTGTTACTTAAATATTCTTAAAAATAAAAAGTACCAGGTCTATTTCTTCTTGCAGATCAAAGCATTCTGCAGATTGCCTACAGACCAGTAACCCACTGGAATTCTCATTATGATCTTAATGTTTTCATATCTAGGTGTACGTACTCCTAACTTGTCACTAAGTACTTGCTTTCTGAAACCTCCCTTTTTTGCCAGTCTGTTTCCATTCCTGCCTATTTCGGACAAACAGATTGATTTAGGAAAATAGCTAAGCTTTGTATAAACAATACGAATGGCATAAAATTCCACATGGAAGTCATGGACCGTTGATACTACTTAGCAATATAGTGGAGAGATTGGGAAGGTTAAATAGTTTAATTAATCTACCATTCTTCCGTGTGAAACTGACCTTCTTTCTCTTCTGTTTCAGTATCTTATTCTATCTCATACTCGTTTCAGAGAGTATTTCGGACTCTGAAATGAGTATTATTTCTTCAGGTCATCTTTGAGATTCTGACTTTCCACTTTGGCTTTCATACCTTGCATGTCTACACTCACAGACACATGTACATCCATTCAGTCATGTGCACATCTTCATGTAAGTACATGTACATAAGTATCTTCCCTTCACTTGTTGCTTCCTTTTACAACCTTCTGGTACCTCTTTTTGGCCCTGTGAACAGTTTATGGCCCCAGTTTGCATCTTGAATGCCAGCCTCTGATTGTCTTAGCACTGATGGGGTTCTCAGGAGAATGTGGTGGGAGCCAGAAAGATAGTGACCTGCCGTGGAAGATTCCCTTCTCTCACCGAGACAGGCATCTCAAAGAAGAGCCCGGGATTATTCCTTGTCACCATTATTATTCCCTGAATGGGCTCTCACACTGTCTCTGGAGGGTAATCCAATACAGTGGCCGAAATAATCTGCTGAAAGTAATTCAGTGCCCAGTAACACGATGGGCTGCGAGTAAACACTCATGAGCAAAAATTGGCTCATGTGGCACAAAAAAAGTAATAATATCCCAAGTTGGAGCATTTTCCTTTGTCTTTGTCATATCAATAAGACCCTGTAAGTTTTCAGATAGGTTTCAGTAGAGGTGGTATTTTAGTAAAATATTTCTGTTGCAACAGAGTATAAGAAAAAGGCACAGACTGATAAGCTCCAGAGTGAGATTGACATGCTGAAGGAGCAGCTGCAGCTCACCAAGTCTCAGCTGGAGGCTGCACAGCACGCCCACGCTGTCAGGTTCTCTAAGGTACGGTACTGAATTCGGAAACGGTGGGATGGTGAGAAGGATCAGGATTAATTCCTTTTAAATGTTTGGTGGAATTCACCAGTGAAGCCATCTGCTCCTGGGCTTTTCTTTGTTGGGAGGAATTTGATTACTGATTCAATCTCCTTATTCACTGGTCTGTTCAGATTTTGTTTTTCCATGATTCAGTGTTGGTAGGTTGCATGTTTCTAGCAATTTATCCATTTCTTTGAGATGGTCCAATTTGTTGGCATATAATCATATGCATAGTGGGCTATTATAATCTTTTGTAATTCTGTAGTGTCCGTTGTAATGTCTCCTCTTTCATTTATAATTTATTTGAGTCCTTTTTCTTTTCTTGGTTAGTCTAGCTAAGAGTTTGTTAATTTTGTTTATCTTTTCAAAAGCTCCAACTCTTAGTATTGTTCATCTTTTCCATTGTTTTTCTGTTCTCTATTTTATTATTTCTGCTCTAATCTTTATATTTCCTTCCTCCTGCTAACTTTGAGCTTAGTTGTTTTTTTTTCTAGATCTTGAGGCATAAAGGTAGATTGTTTACTTGAGATATTTCTTTTTTTCTTAATGTAGACATTTTTAGCTGTGAACTTTCCTCTTAAAACTGCTTTTGCCATATCCCATACGTTTTCGTATGTTGTGTTTCCGTTTTTGTTTATCTCAAGATCTTATTTACTTCCCTTTTGATTCCTTCTTTGATGCATTGGTTGTTCAGGAATGTATTGTTTATTTTCCACATATTTGTAAATTTTCATTTTCCTCCTGTTGCTGATTTCTTCTTCTTTTTCTTAATGTTTAGTTCTGGGAGAAAGAGAGAAAGCACAAGTGGGGGAGGGGCAGAGAGAGAGAGAAAAAGACAGAATTCAAAGCAAGCTCCAGGTTCCAAGCTGTTCAGCACCGAGCCTAATGTGGGTCTCAAACTCATGAACCAAGAGATCATGACCTGAGTTGGTCTGTCACTTAACCAAATGAGCCTCCCAGGCTCCCCCTTCCTGTTAACTAATTTCTAGTTGCATACAATTGTGGTCAGAAAAGATACTTGATATAAATTCAGTCCTCTTGAATTTGTTAAGACTTGTCATCTAATGTATGATCTATCCTGGAGAAAGTTCCACATGAGCTAAGCAGACTGTGTGTTCTGCTGGATACTATCTGTTGGATATTATATGTCTATTGGGTCCATTTGGTATGAAGTGTTCAAATCCTGGGTTTCCTTATTGACTTTGTGTCTGGGCAATCTATCCATTGTTGAGAGTGGGTATTAAAGGCCCCTATGATTACTGTGTTGCTGTTTATTTCTCCTTTTTGTTCTGTTAGTATATGCTTTATAAATTTAGATGCTGCAATGTTGGATACATAAATATTTATAATTCTTATACCTTCTTGATAAATTGATCTCTGTTATTGTTAAGTAACCTTTGTCTCCTGACATCTTTCTTTTTTTAACGTAGGCGTTTACAGCTATAAATTTCCCTCTTAGCACTGCTTTGGTTTCTCCTTTTTTTTTTTTTTTTTTTTTTTTTTTTTTGGTATGTTATGTTTTAATTTTCATCCATCTCAAAGTATTTTCTAATTTCCCTAGTGAGTTTTTCTTTGTCTCATTAGTTGCTTAAGAGTACAGTGTTTAATTTTTTAAGTATTTGTGAATTTTCCAGATTTTCTTCTGTTATTGATTTCTGGCTTCATTCCACTGTGGTTGGGAAATACACTTAGCACACTTTCAATCTTTTAAAATTTATTGAGAGGGGAGCCTGGGTGACTTAGTCGGTTGAGCATTCTATTCTTGATTTCAGCCCAGGTCATGATTTCATGGTTCATGAGATTGAGCCCCGCATTGGGCTCTGCGCTGACAGTAGGGCAGCCTGCTTGGAATTCTCTCTCCCTCTCTCTCTGCCTCTCCCCCTTCCCTCAAAATTAACAAATAAACTTAAATAATTAAAATTTTTGAGACTCTTTTGTGACCTAACATTTGCTCTCTCCTGGTGAATCTTCCATGAGCATTTAACAAGAATGTACGTTCTGCTGCTCTTGGGTATTCTGTATATGTCAGACTAAGTTTGTTTATTGCGTTAAGTCTGCAGTTAGGTAAAAAAAAAAAACAAAAAAAAAAACTGAAGGTCATTGAGAAATCAAAGGCTGATTGACTAGACATAAATTTAGCTTGTATAAATAGGAATTTGTGTTTCGGGAGTGAGATGGGGCTACTCTATCCAAATTGATACAGTATTGAGAATGGTTCTTCTGCTCAATAGACATTTTCTTTTAAAGGTTGTTTACGTTTTACATATTATTGCATATCTACTATACAAGTTCATAGATCACCGAACTCTTGAGACTTTGGACCTCTGTGTTTGTATTTTAAGAGGTGTAAGGATGAAAGGATGCCATGTGCTGTTTTTGGTTTGGAAAAATCGCTGTGGACGTTGCCATTATATGAAGTGCTATTGCACACCTAACTGATACACTCAATACTAGCTGGAGCTATGTCCATTTATTTAAAATTTTGCACATGTCATTTATTTAAAATTTTGCTTCATATAGAACTTTTAAAACCATGCATTCAAATAATTTCAGGAATATGAAATGCAGAAAACAAAAGAGGAAGAATTTCTGAAGTTATTTGATAGATGGAAAGAAGAAGAAAAGGAGAAACTAGTTGATGAAGTGGAAAAAGTCAAGGAAATGTTTATGAAGGAGTTTAAAGAATTGACCTCCAAGAATTCAGCATTAGAATATGTAAGTATTAAACCAAGTACTCCTCATAGTATTGGTAGGATTGTTGCCTTGAGAGGTAACATTAGAATGGCATTATGGCCAGTGGATCTAGAAATCACTTTATTGTGCCTTGGTCCAGACAGCCCCTTTCTTGAGAGTCCTGAGGGAGCTTGAGACATACAGAAGACAGAGCAAGTCAGAAAAGTCATTTCTTTGAAAGTGGGAGCTTTGGCTCCAAACGCATGTGCAGAACACTTGGTACATTTGAGGGGCTCCTGGCTGGCTCAGTCGGTGGAGCATGCAATGCTTAATCTCGAGGCTGTGAGTTCAGGCCCCATGTTGGGTATAGGGATTAACTAAAAAACTAAAGATTATGGGGCGCCCGGGTGGCTCAGTCGGTTGAGTGTCTGACTTCAGCTCAGGTCATGATCTCACAGTCCGTGAGTTCGAGCCCCACGTCGGGCTCTGTGCTGACAGCTCAGAGCCTGGAGCCTGTTTCAGATTCTGTGTCTCCATCTCTCTCTGAACCTCCGCCGTTCATGCTCTCTCTCTCTCTGTCTCAAAAATCAATAAAGGTTTAAAAAATTTAAAAAATAAAATAAAATAAAAAAATAAAGATTAAATAAATCTAAAAAAAAAAAAAAAAA